CATAAACCCAGGCTTGCCCCAGAGTCTTAGTGACTACTGATATACCACTCTTGACTGCAGTAACTCAAAGGTGCTGAAACACCAAAAAAAAAAAAAAAAAAGAGGCTTTCTACTACTTTTTTTTTCTTGCTCTAAGCTGCTTTTTTTTTTTTTTTAAATGTGCACTTGTGTTGCTTACATAGGAACGAATAGATGATTTCTTGAGAAAGCCATTCTATGGAAAACTACTAACTTCTTTTGCCTCGTTTTTGTAATATTTTCATCACTTCACGGTAAGCTTCTGAACACTTTTTGGAACTAGGTGGATATAAGTAGATTGAGAAACAGGAGAGGAAGTTATGATGTATTTTTTAAAAATAATTTTATTTATCTCTTTTTTTTTTTTTTTTAAATTTACTACAGGGCTCATCAGAGACAGAAAGAGGTAGGGGAAAGTGAGAAAGCAAGCTGCCAGGTCCGGGGCTTGAACCATAGTCAGCCATGTGGGAGTCCAACACCTTAACCACCATGCCACCTGCTGGCCCCTGACATTATTTTTAAAGAGAAAAATAATTGAATTGGATTAAGCAATAAATGCTCTCATTAAGTACTGTCATATTAAGGATGTGATTTTCAGATGAGGTAGATGAGACTCAGGTTAAGTGACTTGCCTAAGATCACACAACAAAGAGCTTAGATAGGAAAATAGTCTGTCCTTAACCCGGTCTCCTAAGTACAGTAAGCTAATTCTAGCTACCTGCTGACATAAAACAAATCACTCCAAAACTTAGTAACTTAAAACAATACAATAGTCATTTTATTATTATCCCTCACAGTACTGAGCTTTGATAACAGTGAGGTAATTCTCATCTTGAAGTCATCTTGAAGGCTTCTTCACTTTATGTCTGACAGTCGATGCCAGCTGTTAGCAGAACACATACACATGGCTTCTCCACTGCTGCCTGGGCTGCTTCATAGTATGGTGACTGGGTCCCAAGAGACAAGAAGTAGAAGCTGCTAATTCTGAAATCCGAGATAGAGACTGGCATAGCCACATTCTACTGATCAGTCAAGAGTCCAGATAAGGCAGAGAGTAAGAGACATCACCTCTCTAAGAGGCTATGCTTTAAAATCCCCAACTATAAAATTTTTGAAATGGCATAACCACATGATGAATGCCTGTTGTTTCAGTGAGCCAAGCCTCTTCTGCCAGACAAGGGTTCTGTGAGGGGGGTCTTTAAAAAGCTCATGGAAAGTACATATTAAAAAAAAAAATTCATGCATGGATTTCAAATTGTTTCTGCACCAAAATAAATTCGTACTTTAATTCCTTTTTTCCGTGATCATTTTAAAGACCCCTCATAGAACACTTGTCTTCCTTTTAGGGATCCTCTTTTTGCCTCCACCCTCACAGGCCCCATGACATGCTCTACCACCACTTGGAGCATGCCCAAGAATAAAACTGGTTCCTGGTAACAGCTTTTGAGCCCCTGGGTCTCCCTGCATCTACCAGACTTTACAATTCATTAGCCTCTACAATTCATGAGCCTCCTGCTTAAGCAAGTCTTCATTTCTGTAACTTGTAGCCAAAAGTTCTCAGTACATTCTCCTAAGTGTGGCTATGGAGATTAAAATGTGAAGATTAAAATGTGCCCTAAATATAGGGCACATGTGCTCACCAGAGAGACAGAAAGCGAGAAATCACCCCCCCCAGGGGGGATGGCCACTCCACAATCCCTTCTCCTCCATTCGGCTCTCGGGCATGCACGCACACATGCCCAGTGTGAGTTTAAGCCACCAGGTCCAAGACTCAAACCGCAGTCAACTACATGGGAGTCCAGCGACATAGCCATTACGCCCAACTGAAGGCATAATGGCCAACACTTTACTGCTGGTCCCAGTAAAATTTACCTTTTAACACCAAGTGTTCATGAAATAATTATTGTTATGGGATAATCTTATGAAGAATCTGGCCAAAGGCGGATGGATTTTTAATTTGCCTAAAGCCCTAGTGAATCAATGACCCAACCTATACCTGACCCCAAGATGCCTGTTCAGCATCTCAGGCCCTGCTCTGCCTGCTGTGTTTCTGTGGTCTTGACAGGCTCACTGCATGTGATGTCCTTATGTCTCAACTTAGCAATTAGATAGGTACCCACAGTTCCTTGCCCATAAAAGACATTACCACAAGCTATCATGTTACTGTGTCCAAATAGTTTAAGATCTTACCATTAAGAAGAATTTGGGCTTAACCATGTCACTTGTTTTGGCCATAAAACATGACATCAGCTGGATCTTTAAAAGCACTTGTATACTGGGGCTTATTCTTTCTTGTTGACTTTGGAACCCAGCTGTGATGTGAAGAATCCCAAGTCAGCCAGCCAAATACTCGAAACACGTGGCCCAACTGCCTCTGTGGCCCAGCATCCTCATGTGGGCAAGGCCATCTTTGTGTAGACCCCAGCTGATGCTAGCCACCTGAGAGCCTACCAAAGGTAAGGAGACCAAGCTGAGTACAGCCGAAACTGGCAAGTCAATGAGTCAGGAGAGAAAATGTTGGTTTCTGGGGACTAGCAGATGGCATAAAGGTTACATCACTGGGCTCCCGTAGTTGACAGCGGTTTGGGTCTCAGACATGGTGACTTAAAACTCATGCCGGGCGCATATGCATGCATGCCCAAAATCCCAAGAGGAGAATGGAGAAGGGATTGTGGCATGACCATCCTCCCTGGGCGTTGATTTCTCGCTTTCTGTCTCTGTCTCTCTAGTGAGCATACACACCCTACAGCAAAAATCTCTCTCAAAAGAAAGGAAAGAAAATGTTGGTTACTAAAGCAGTTTTGGAGTGGTTTGCTGTAATAACTGATAGAAGGCCCTCTTTTATCCCTGTCTAGATCAACTTCTCATTTTCATAGCCGAAGAAACAGATCTAGCAAGGAATAAAACTTTCCCAAGTTCCCCACCTTGTTAGCAGCACTATGGGGAGAAGCCTGTATTTACTAGATAGTTCCCCATCTAGTAAATCCACTGGCTACTATACTCTTTCAAGATGGCTACTAAGATCAAATATGAGGCTTCATATCTTATAAACATCTAAACAAGATCAGTCCTTCGAGCAGAACCTGGTCATCACATTTCTTTACCAGCAGTGGCATGGGAGATGCCCTTGTTGGACCCGGACTTAGAGGAGGGAAGGCATGTATGTGCAGGGCTTTGGATGTAAACCTCTCAGTTAAGGGCCCAAAGGTGAGCCTTGGAGGGTATGAAGTAGTCTAGGGACTTTTCTTGGGTGGTAGGACAGAACTCCCTGTTTTTCTTAAGGCCCTCCAAGCCTGAAGGCTTATAAATGGTGGCTGGAAGAAGGGCTGCCCAGTGATAAAGTCATGAGACAATAAAGACTTTCCTAGAGGTGTCCCTACCAAGGGGAGCCTGTCCCAAACCCAGCTTCCATCCTCTAGCAAAACCTGGAGCTGAAGCCCAGGTGGCAGAGGCTATGCTACAGAACTGATGGCTTGAAACTGGGAACTTTAAATAAGGACTCCAGCAGGCCTACAAATTTTGAGGAACACATAAAGATGTAGGGTTTCACACAAAGATGTCGGGAAACAAACTCCTTTCTGATGATGAGACTGAATGTCCTGTGTTGGGGGAAGGCCCCTATCCCCGCACAAAGAGGGAAGGGGCAGTTATTATAGAGCAGTCAGCTGACCTAGGGGACCTCTCAGAGAGATGACACTAGAACACCTGCTCGCAATGAGTGGGGTGTTTCCTAGGTGGAAAAAGCAGAAATGAGAGGAACATGTGCCAGGCCTGGAACAAAGCTTGTTCTGGGTGCTGCTGCCCACAAGACCAGTCAAGTGGCCATGTTTGTTCCACCAAGCTCACTGGACTGGAGTGTGTACTTGTATCCCATGAATGACTCAGAAAGACCTGCTATGGTAGTTGACTCTTGAGAACTTGAACATGAGGAAAATGGATCAAAAATGGATCAACTTGCTGAGGGGAGTAAAAGGGATAGGGTGCAGTTAAGAGGATACGATGGGCCAAGTATAAGCTATGAAGAAGTGAAAGTTTGACAGAAATCAGACAGTTGTTAGAGAACAGAATAAACGTGCAGACATGCAGCCCGAGACAGGCAGACAAGCCGCAGGTACCTAGTGCAACCTTCTTACCACCATGAGGCTACTGGAGCAGAGCTGTATTCCTTGCTACCAAAACTGCCTAGAGTGTGAAGGTCTTGTGTGTATGTCCAGGTGGAGTGGAGAGGGAGCAGAAAAAAGGGGTTGTAGGGACCAGCAGTTAGCATAATGGCTATGTTGCTGAACTCCCACGTAGTTGACTGTGGTTCGAGTCCCGGACCTGGTGGCTTAAACTCACACCAGGCGCGTGTGCATGCGTGTGTGCCCAAGATCCCAAGAGGAGGATGGAGGAGAAGGGATTGCAGTATGGTCATCCCCCCTGGAGGGTGATTTCTCACTTTCTGTCTCTCTGGCAAGTGCATGTGCCCTATAGCAAAAATCTTTCCCAAAAAAAAGAGGGGTGGTGACAAGAGCCTGAGAGGCGAAAGCAGACAGGAGCCTGCATGCATATTCAGAAACAGGGAATCTGTCCTGAAATGAGGAGTAGTCAGTGAAGGGTTTCATGCAGAGAAGAGAGACATTTCAGAAATAACACTATAATGGGTGGTGGAAAACAGCACAGAGGAGAAGTTGGAGAATCGAGGCTGGTGAGAGGACAGACTCCTTGTGAAAAGACCACTGTGTTCTAAGCCAGGATAGAGAAAGTAGAGGATGTATGGGATTCTAGAATAATTTTAGAGCTGAGAAAGACCAGATTTAGCGAGAAGCTGAAGAAATGAGGCCTCCACCTGTAACTGGATGAGGCCTAGATGGATCAGTATCAGGCACCCTAGAAAACATTCCCTAGTAGGGAAGAGTGAAAGAGGTAAGAACAGGAGGGTACAGCAGGCTGGAAAAGCCAGGATATCTTTGTGAGAAAACACATCCCATCTCAGAGCAGACTGGGATCCAATCTCTTTATTGTCAGGCTCCCCACCCTGAGGCCCCCCTTCAAACCTATAGAAAAAACACAAGCCTGGGAGGGCCTTTGGAAGGGAAGGCAGAGTGTGAGGAAACCCCTGTGCTCTGGCCTGGGCAGTGCAGGTAGGCAGGGTGCATGGCGAAGGGGTAGGCCAGTAACTCCACCTGCAGAGGATGTGACACTGGTAGGGATGAGTTGGGATAGGAGGTGCCTGCTGCCAGCTCTCCTCTGGTACCCGCTGGGGGGTGGCATCCAGTGGTGTGGCACCTGGCTTGAGGCCTGGGGTAACGATGCCCTTCTCCTGCTGGTGGCCATTGCTCCTGTCAGGCTGAGAAAGAGAGACAAAAAAAAAAAAACTAAGGCTGAGAGGAAGAGACTCTGGTGTTCTTGATAACAGGGGTAGGGAAGAAAAAAAGGAAGGGTGCCTGATGTCTGTAGGCAGAGGTATGCCTGCACTCTGGCCTGATAATTTTCTGGCCATACAACCTTGAGCAAGTCTCACCCCCTCCCTGAGCTTACATTTTCTCACCTGAGTCCCTGCACCTCACCTGTGAATTGGCTCAACAAGGTAAGATTAGCCTCTCAGGTAAAAACAAACCATGAAGTTCCAAGAGAAAAGACTGCATGCGTGGAATTTTCTAAACCTAACTCTTCTGGAAGGCCTTGCTGATGGAGCACCTCACAGCCTAAGTGTGTCATGTACAGATACCTCCCTCCACCCGAGCCTGTCTTAACTCTGAACATGGACCCAAGGGAATGGATCAGAGAGTAGGTAGTGTGAGGTGTGGCCTGCCTGCATCTAGGGCAGGAGGGAGCAGAGTGGTAAGCAGTGGACCGAGTGGGCTTTGAGGTCAGATTCCACAGGGTTCAAACCTAGGCTCCACCAATCTCCCTTGGGATCTTGTGAGATAGGTGGTATTTCCCTGTATGCTCCAGTGCCTCATTCCCATATCTGCTCTACTGGCATAATCACAACCTTTCAGGGATAAGATTCAATCATGTAAAGCAAACGCAGCTCCTTCCACACAGGGAATTTCCTTCTCACAACATGATTGAAGTCCCTAAGCCTGGCAAGTAAGATCCTTGGCAATCTCCTTTCTCTGGTGGTGAATATTGTCATCTCCTTTCTATGCAGAGCTGGGACAGCAGCCACAGGACGCTCTTGGCTCACCAATCACTGAGAATTGCCACGGCTCTGTGCCTCTACTAAGGCTATTCCCTCAGTGTGGAATGCTTTTCCTTCAATAATCAAACCATCCCACCATCGTCTCTCCCACCACCGTGGCTGCCCTCTATGGCAAGACTGCTCACTCTGAGTGGCAATGGTTAGCATTTTCCTCCACCAGACTAGGAGCTACTCAAGGGTGGGAATAGGTAATATGGCACAGGGTGTGCTGAAACTCTTGTCAGGCAGGCCCAACTATCCCATCTGTGGTACCACCACGGGTCTGGCAGGATGGCTTGATATGGAGGGGCATTCATTCTGAGCACAGTGCTGCCCTATCAGGTGTGCTTCGTGATACTTCCTCCCTGACCTAGGGACAAGGATGACTTTCACTGCACTGCTTCCCCATATCCTGCCCACCAAGACTCCGTACCTGCACCAAGACTCCGTACCTGCTTACTGCAAGGCCCCATCTTCTGCATCTGTGTCCTGGCTGTGTTCCTGATGGAGAGGAGACAAGAAGAGAGTACACATCACTCCCTGAAAGCTCTGACTTGCACCCCACCATCTATGCAGAAAGACCCAAAGATGGGATTTGAGCAGGCTGAAAATAATGCCTTGGGGTCTGATGAGCTCTCTATCTTTGGTACACAAAAGTATGGTTTAGGACCTTTCTAGACACTGGCCCAAAAGAATGTGACAAGACTAGGTTCAAAGAAGGAGAGATGAGCTGGGTATGAGGAGGACCTTTTGCCTTTCATGGTCATGAGCTCATCTATGCTTGTGCTGAAGCCCAGCAGGGATTGAAGGGAGTTCCAGACCAGGCTCAGTCCTTATTTCCTATGAGGCCCTGGGCAACTAGATCCCTCTGAGCCTGTTTCCTCATGGGATTAAAATATGGGAACAGCAATACTTTGCACAGCTCAGGGCTGTTGTTGACGTTAAACAACTTGGGCTACCCTCCTACCCAATATAAGCTTCTGGTCAGATGGCTTCCCAGGTTCAACTCCAGAAACTCCATTAACAGAAAGGGTCCCCCCTCTTATGAGACAGCTCACTTCACACGCAGCAATGGTTCTGAGAAAATTTTCATATGGAGTTGACACCCACATCTCCCCCATGGCTTCCCCTTAGCCACTCCAATAATGCTCTCTGGAACTCTGAGACTGCATGTGCTCCTTTGAGACCAATTCTCCAATTCATGTGGAAAATGGAGCTAGAAAAGGTCCTGAGCTTGAGAAAGGTCTGTCCCAGTCCTCAGTGAGATTTCTGACTGGTAGCTGAAATAGTCAAGTACCCCATGCTCATTCTTCCCTTCCTCCAGGTCTAGAATCCCTGAGATGGAGAGAAGAGGGAGCTTGCAGGGGGCAAAGCATCTCCGAGGTTTCCCTGTTCCCCCCTGCCATCCCCCGGTAACGAGGAGTATAAACTCCAGCCCCAGCCCCTCCCAGTCCTGCCCCTGGCTGGGCCCTCACCAGCTCTTCCTCGCTATGTGTCAGCAAACCCTCCTCATCGCCGTCGTCTCGGGCCTGTGCTTCTGCTGCCTGTGGTGTGCCTGCCTCAGAAGTCGTGTCCTCTTTGGGAGCTGCTGGCCGGCTGCTGCTGTCACTATTGCCACTGACAATGCCACTGCCACCACTGTTGCTGCCACCACCACTGCCACCACCGCTGCCACCCCTACTGCCTCCAATGCT